CCCCCAATGCTAACTGGGAGTCGACATCAATATAAACGACTGTAATGCAGGGGTTGCCGGTAGGTGGCGCATTTTAAAATGGCGGAATACGCGTAGAACTTTAATGTCGCCGATGTAAAAAATAAAGAAATCCAATCAAGTGAAGATTTGCAAACTTATGGCAAGTTCAAGTAGACGAAACGTTCAGGTAAGGTTAGCTGCGGGCCATAACGCTGCTTTTAAAATGACAAAGCAATATTTGGTATGCAGCTGCGAGCGATACGCCCAAGCCTAGTAGGAGGGCTTTATTTATTTATTTGCATGCATGAACATGTTAAACATTACAAAGTGTTAATTAATCGGTTGGCCGACAACAATGACGCTGGACATTTGAATGCCACGTATTGCCACAGAATTTTAATCGTCCACGGTTCACGGTATGACAAGACGTAGATGTCCAGACTACACACTACAGGTATTGTGTTCCATGATATAAAACTCGATGCCGGCATATCGTATATATATGCCATGTTATGACACGGCGACAATGTACTGTCAATATTTTATCTGTATTCCAAATCTGATACCCCCGTTCTTAATCAGTGATGGGTATGCAATATGTAGGTCAGTGATCATACCGCAATCAGCAGCTTTTGAGAATATTACAATCGGTTTTATCGTGGTGACGAGGAATATATTGTGTCGTCTACCATTATAATTTTACCGGTACTTTCATTTACTAGTATCGTTTTTGAGTCTTGGTGAGGAACAAATAAGATTAAATAAAAAAAGAAGTATACCATTTAAATAAATCTAATACTGTAGGGTTACGATTTTATATCTATTTCAAAACAAAAATTATTGTCAGAAATAAAATTTGTGGGCGTGGCATAGTCAAGATATCTTGCATGAATTCCTATTATTACCACCTGCGATTATGGAATGTTTATTTTTGGAAACATTGTGTAGTGGTGGGCCTTCTGCAGACTAATGAGGTTTGAAATAACTCTCACTGACCGCTTTTGAAGGAGTTTTGGAAAAGCAAAAACATTTAGAAGTAAGTAGGGATTTCAGGGGAAAATTATACACATATCATAGAGTAGTTTACATGGTGGCATTGGACAGATCTCTACTAGAGCAATACAATGCACCTCATTTGATGAAAATCAGGGTTACCGATCCCGAGATAAGGTACTTTGTGGCTTCAATTAGCATCTCTGAATTTTGAACAAAGGATGACACAACAAAGCACTACTGAATAGTAAAGACAACGGCACCATTTTGGATGAATAAGCACTAAATATTTAATTGGAGCTGAACTTAAACTGACATATCTTTCTCCTTTTTTATTGAATTTTCACAAATTTTCAACAAATAAACTTTATATCAATGTTTATCTAATGTCATTAGAGGGCAACATATAGACCATCTATTACCATGGAAACAGGCCATATTCAAATTTCATTTTGAATCATCTGTCAGTGTCAATAAAGAAAAACAAGTTTTACTTTCGTTTATGTTGTCTTTGTTTTTATTCCTATACAAATGCATTGAAAACGCCCTCATCGACCGGCTATGAGTTCTACCAAGCTTTGCTTATTTTTACGCTATAATAATACTTTTGAAACAAAAAGCATTGACACGAATAAACAAATCTAAGATATATCATTATAGCATAATATACAGCTTATTTTTTGGCAACTTAGAAAAGAATTATTCATGGAAAACATAACTGGGAGCTGCCCGGAAAATTTGAAATCTCTGTGCCTGATCGATCCATTTTTATGCCAAAATAACCAATGAATCATGTGAATGCTTTAACATGTACAATTCGTTTTACTTTGCATTTACGCTGCATTTTCGACATGTTAAAAACAAAATAAACGTATTTTGCAGTATATGAAAGTGAAGGAGTGAAAAATTCTCTTCGTACATGAAAATGGCGTCCATGTAAACAAAGTACCTGGTTTGAGGTACCACTTTTAATATGGGCTTGTCGCACTCTCTAAATTGATGTCACACTCACAAAACCTAGATTTTTGTCTATTAAAATATATATTTTTTCAAATTATGAGTGATAGATATGCCAGTTGTAAGTCGATACGAAAATTGTCGTTAAACTTTTTATTGCCGTTTATGTTTGGATATTTAGAGTAGTAACAAATTCCCACTTACGGTCCGGTTAGACTTAAAATACACCACGAATATTCACTTTTGAGATATGATTTTTGGTATGTGTTGGTTCTTAGAACGGATAGTTTCGCGATTTTGACACAAAAATGCCTGGGCTAAATTATTTGCTGAGGGACGGCTGCTTAGGTATGTGCTCTGTAACTTGTAACAAATGAACCTAAAAACGTTAGGTAATCAAACAAAAATGACGTACTAAAGTCCAAAAGTTACTTCACTTCAAGGTCTTCACTTTTTCATAGCATAAAAAACAATTTACTCTCTCGCTTATTGTGACACCCTCAAATCGACTGATTTCCATTCCTCTCAAAATTCAACAATGGTATCGTCCCCTATTTTACGCTACGACTATTAGCTTCATCATAGGTAATGTTTTACAACATTTCATCATTTGCGATTACAGATAATTCTGGATTCCAACAAATGGAGTATCTTTAGTTTGTTAGACTCTCAGTTGATTCAATCTATCAAACTAGCATGTGTATTTGGAAGCTCTGCTAACGAAGCTATCTTTGTGACCACTGATGATGAAGTCTTTGCTATTGGCACAAACTGCAGTGGATGTCTTGGACTAGGTGACGTGCAAAGCACATTACAGCCAAAAAGGATAGAGCAGCTATGTGGTAAAAACGTCTGTGATATCGCTTATGGTAGTGGACCTCATGTAGTTGCTGTAACTGAAGCTGGGGAAGTCTATAGGTGAGGCTCGATTATACTGTGGAATACTTTATTTTCGCTGGAATTAATTTTCGCTGAAAAGGCTTTTTGGGCGTTTTGCTTGGAATTTATTTTCACTGATTTTTCATGAGTTTAATGTGAAATATAGGAAAAAAAGTATATTCGCTGGATTTTATTTTCACGGAATCATCCCTTCAGCGAAAATAGCGAAAATAAATTCCAAGCGAAAATAAAGTATTCTACAGTAAACTAATACTGTAATGATATTAATTTTAAGCTGAGTTTTAATTTTGCTAATTTTGCTGAACAAGTAAAATCTCCTAAATTAAATGCATGCAAACATGTAAAATACCAAAAACACTCGTTCTTTCACTGGGAAATACTTGAATTTAAAACATTTTTGATAATGGTCAAAAATACATACCAAAAAAATGCTTTCACAGTACCACAATAATATACACTATCTTCTTCATCTAAGGTTCATTAGTTCTGCATGGGTGTTTTGAAGTGTGCCCTTTTTGCAAGTTGCCATCATTTTGTTTTTGTTTTTTATATACATTGCCTATGCCAACTCTGATTGGGTGCATGTTTGGCTTATCAATGCAAATTATCAAGGTCAAATATTTAATCTCTTATAGTACGTTTATATAAGGTTGTCAAAACCAAGCAATAATCAGACAATAATTATATATAGACAACCAAGTTAATTTTTGTCGCAGGAAATTATTCATAATTTGTGACATCAGCGAAATGATCATTGTCAATATCTGTCCAAAATGGCAGTGAAAAGGATTTTAAAAGATTCATGCCAGAGACATTATTTTTATTTGGTGGCCATATTCTATTTTCATAAAATTGTACTGCATCCAATGTAAATAAAGGAATAGTTTTGAATGTGACAATAATGGGACGCACATTTCCATATAAGAAAGACAGGTATAAGACAGTACAGTTTTAATGAATGTCTAACTTCTATTGGAAGTGTGGTTTGAGCAGTATTCTGCCAAATTCCCAATTATCAATCTTCTTTGTGCCTACCTTGTATCTTATACATACTATGATTTGATTATATAGTTGGGGACATAACAGTTATAGTCAACTTGGCAATGGTAATACAAATCAAGGATTATTACCAGCGCAGATTTCAGTTAGTTTATTGGGACGTAAAGTAAAACAAGTATCATGTGGTAGTCATCACACGCTGGTGTTGACTGGCGATGGTGAGGTGAGTACTGTGTTGTGTTTGAACTCTGTAGTGTTGACAGTCATTTTAGTTTTACCTTTGATTGTTTGTAAAAAAAAAAAATTGCTAACACTTTGGAATTGTATTCTGACATTCTTAGATTTACCTTTGTTTTCATTTACTGTGGCTTTTAGTGATTTGGAACAAGGATTTTTCTGCACTTTTGTCTTGAACCTTAACTTTGGAGTCAACAGACAAAATTTTAGTAAATTCTCAGTTTTTACTCAAACAATTTGGTTATTTTTGTCCCAATCTTTTGAAGGGAAGTACAGGCTATAAACAGAACTGGTGGTGAAAAAGATTAAGTATATAAATTAAAGCCAGTGATATAATGATATCTACATGTATTATTTTATTTCAGGTATACGCATGGGGTTACAATAACTGTGGTCAAGTTGGTTCAGGGTCAACTACTAATCAAGCATCACCAAGGAAAGTGGTGGCATGTCTAGGTAAGTACATATCAGTGTGTCTCTGGCACCTGATACAAGACTTGATCATCAAACTCACATGTCACTGTCTAAATGTTCAATAAGCAATCAGTCTGTACGATCAACAGTATTCTCAATGCTATATTAGATCTATTAAAAAGCATCTCTCAAAGAAGTGCTTGTAAACCAAAAATTGCATTTATTTTATGCCTGATTATTGAAATATATTTTATTTTGATCGTAGAAATACTTCTGTCGTTTACGTAACAGTAAATACATACATTACTGATGTAGGGTATGTTAAGTTAATTTCACTCTGTGGTGTTTAGCTCAACACATTGCTAGCTGAAAGCCTCTGCAGATTTAATAGTGTCATGTTTTAATAGAAAATTTCTAACAAAATGCATTTAAACTATTTTAACCATGAAAATATATTCCATTGGTGTCTGATGGTATAGAACGTAGCTTTGCTGTCTTTTATTTGTCAGTCAATAATTGTGTTGAAACTTACCTTGATACTGTTGCAGGAAATAAGAAAGTGTTCTCCATAGCGTGTGGTCAGACATCATCTATGGCTCTGTCTGAGAATGGTGAGGTAAGCTGGCATACAAGCGTAGTAAAATACCTGTCTATTATTAGCCTGATGTGGTCATGTGAGTTCCATCCTTTGCACATGGTTGCCTGCATGCCTGAACAGTTTAGTTTTCAGTCTGAAAGAAAATACTGAAACTACAATCACAACCCAGTGTTTATTTTGGTCTCAAACTATGTACATCTGGCAGTAAAAACAATGAAATACAGCCATTGATCGCAAAAGTTTGAAAGTGCTGCAGGCATGTTTGAAAATGTTATGAAAATGTTCGTGAGTTGACATGTTCAAATTGTAACAGTTTTGCTCAAAAGAGTTACTGACATATGTGTGTTATGATAAAGTTAGAAAAAATATGGTCATTTTCAAAGTGTCTTCCACATTAGGAACGTTTCAGTCAGTTATTAGAAGCATTCTGTTATAATGTCATTCATTGCCAAGAAAAAATTATTTAAAAGTCAACATCAACCCTTAAAGTAAAACAGCTTTGAAATAAAAATAACAAACAAAAACAAATACATACAGTTTTGTCATGGAAAAAACTTTTTAATGTTTTTGAAATTAAGAATGCAATTTATTAAAATCACTATTTTGCAGCCAGTTCTTTTTATTGTCATGGATTAGTCACAAAAGTTGACAGACAGAGTTTTGTTTTGATCACATCAGCATTGCCAAGATTCATTTAGTGCTCAAGTACAAGGTTTGCAAACAAGATATTAAATGAGAATGTATAATAATAATAATAATAATAATAATAATAATAATAATAATAATAATAATAATAATAATAATAATAATAATAATAATAATAATAAACTTTATTGATATTGTATCCTTTATAGGATCTTGAGTTAAATCACAATAAAGTGTGGATGAAAGGAAAAACAAGAAAAACAATAAGATAAAATAATGTATTGTCTGAACTTTTGTGTATTCTAGGTATATGGTTGGGGTTATAATGGTAATGGACAGTTAGGCATTGGTAATAATGTTAACCAGCCTAATCCCTGTCGTGTTACTAGTTTACAAGGTATTGTGGTGGCTAAGGTAGGTTTAACATGATTTATGACTGTTTTCAATTGCTCCTCAAAAACAGCCTTTTTTTCATTGTTCAGATGTGAAAGTCACATTCATCATTGTTCATCACGTATATACGCTTGTTTGATCTCTGATTGTATTTTGATATGCACATTCCCAGACAAGGGTATAGATAGAAAATGTACTGCCTGTTTAAAAAATAATAAAGAAATGAACGTAGTGGTCACTATTCTGTAGATTGTATGAAGATACGCTCACTCCCATGCACTTTCATAATAGGTGATTTTCCGTTCAACTGCGAGATCTCCCGAGATGCATGAAAGACACGCATCGAATGTCTGCCGCAAAAATCAAACGATTTGATTTTGAACTCAAATTTCTTGATTTCGTAACTCACATCGACCGGCCGATCTTCGACAGAGGAACATTGCTTTCGAATACCCTCACTTGCCGGTAATCGAAATTGTTTATCATCAAATGTGTACAGCACATTATTAAGCATGGAAATGCCCCCCAAAATATTTTCACGTTTGACGATTCCCACGCAATGTTTGACGCCACTACGACGCTATGACCTTTGTTTGTTTGTCCTTTTTTTTACGTTCGATTTCACGCATAACGCGTGATTCTCGCAGTGTACGGAAAATGGTCAATTACTGTGCCATATAGAA